TTCGTCATGTTGACGAAAGCGTGGGGCATCAGGCGCGCCGTGATCTCGCTGAGGCCGCCAATCCGCAGCTGCGCACCGCCCGCAAGCACGCAGTGGCGCAGCGTCACGTTCAGCGCGTCAGCGAACGCATCCATCAAACGCAGGTCCACCGTCACAGTGATCGGCCCGCTGAACACCACCGAGTCGAAGCACGTCGTCGCACGCCCACCACCAACCGTCACGGACTCCGTCAGCGTCACGCCACTCACGCAGCCCTGCGCACCGCCACCACCGGACCTCGCAGGCGGCACGTCGAACGGCAGGCACGCCTCGCCCACACCGCCGGCACGGCAGCTGCACACGCAGTCGGTGAACGACGCAGTCAGTGCATCGAAGCACGCCAGCGCTGCCGCACAGCCGTCGCACGGCACCACGCTCACGGAGGGCAGGCCGGCCATGCGATAGTCGCCGCTGCTCCGCAGCACCCGGCCGCCAGCACGGTTGCACTGCACCGACACGACGCCGCTCGTGATCGTCAGCCCGGAGACAAGCGTCGCGCCAGTGGCAGCGCAGCGCGCAATCGACACGGCGCCGCCGCTGAGCGTCACCCCCGACAGCGACGCCACCGACAACGCCTCGCCCACCGCCCACACGTCGTGCATGTCCAGCCACCCGCCGCCACCGACCGTCCCACCGTCGCAGCGCACCAGCGACGACGCAACAGACCCCTCAACGCCAACGAAGCGCAACACCGAATCAAGCACCGCTAGGCGCTCTCCGAGCACAATGCCGCCGCCGCTGCTCACAACCGACACGTTTGTCACAGAGAGCACCGAGTGGCTCCGCAAACTAACACGCGACGAGGACGCCACATGCATCGCGGACGCGGTCGGACCGCCCGACGTCACCAGCGACACGCCGTCAAGCACCACCGCGCTCGACAGCAGGTCCACGCCGCCGCCAACGTACACCGCCGACCCGCCCACGTGCAACGACCTCAGCACAGTGTTGCTCACACGCAGCTGCGACTGCAACAGCGACGTCGCGTACAGCACAAGCGGCGATGCCACCGCGTCCGTCAGCCCGCTCAGCTGCGAGTAGTGCATCGGCCCCGGCGTCACAATCGTCGAGTCGCGGACCGTCACGTTCGTGTGTGCCGGCAGGTTGTGCACAAACACGAGCGAGCAGTAGCCGCCGGACAGCCCGCTCACGCTCACCTCCAGGCTCCGGTCACTCGCCGGCTCGCCGCTGTAGCCCCGCACGTAGAGCTGCGCACCGCCGTCGCACACGCAGTTCCTCAATTCGATGCGCAGCGCACCGGGGAGCATCGCCGCCACGTCGAACACCACAGCCACGCCGTTCGTGATGGACACGCCGTCCATCAGCGCCGTGTCCACGGCACGGCCAACCGTGATGGCTCTGTCCACCGTGCCGCCCCGCAGTCGCAACACCACCGCATGCACCGCGGGCATCCACGCCGCAGCAGCAACCAGCGCCAACACCAAAAGAAGCGCCGCACGCACAGCCGCAATGGCCCTGCGCTGCACACGGTGCCGGCTGCGCGGACACGCACCCACCGCAGACCGCATCCACCGACCCAGACACGTATCAGCAGGGCTCTCGTGGTGTGTCGCACTCGCCCCGTCAACCATTCCTCCTGTCTATCAAATCCCTTTCTACGGATGGCAAATCCAGATACACGATTCCGATAGGTCGTTATCCCACTAATTCTAATCCTAATACTGCGAGTAATCCCTAACACCTTGAAACGATAGTTGTGCTGGTAAAGCAAAAGTAACTCTAACTGCACGGTCAGAAAAGGAACAAAAGGAAGCAACCACAGTAACCAAACACAGTGGCACGCAGAGGCATCCGGCCACAAAAAATCCCAAACACAGTACAAACCCCAACAGGAAACCGCGCAGACGCAATCAATTCAGTAGCACCATCACCCTCGCACCGCCAGCGCAGCCCCACACAGCCGCCGTCCCAAGTAAAAGGGTCCCGGCAAAAACAAACATGACCACTGGCGCTGCTGGTGTGACCGATGAGTCGGCACTGCACAAGAAACAGCGAACTCATACGCGCACGGCATACACAAAAACGAAATGAGGAATAAAGGAGCACGGCGGCAGTACGCAGACACGGGGAAAAAGGATCCACATCAACTGCACAGTCCGATTCGCTCGCAGCCGTACGGATGGTGGTCGCGCCGCCGCCGCACTTTGCGTGTGTGTGTCTGCCGTGGACTGAGAGGATGATGAGACGAAAAAGAGATGCGGTGCGGTCCCCATCCATCTCGGTTAACTGTGACACCAGTCACGCCATCCCGTCAGATTACCTGCAGCCAAGACCGTCACCGTCAGCAGCGGTCGGTGCCTTCTCCACCAGGCGCCGTCACGCGCCTCCTCCCTCACCAACACAACGGGGGAGCAGCAGCCACACGCAACTGCCAGCACCGAGTACAAAAGAAGAATCCACCTGCACTGCAATGTGTGTGTCCTGCACGTGTGGTTGTGTGTGCCCACTGTCACGCGAAAAAAAAGAAAAACGACAGAAAAAAGAAACAAAGCATCTGAAGAGACGCACAAACACAAATGCACAGCAGAGGCGCATGTCCAAAGAAAGAAGAATGGAAGGGCCGCTCAAACTCAGGATTGCACTGCAGCCCGATCAGCGGCAAACCACAGAAGATTTATTCAAAACAAAAGAAAACTTTCCCTAGCCACCCCCTTCTTATATAAACCCCGTCATAAAAAAAAAAAAAAAAAGAACTTCCTATATTACTGTTCCACACGAATTTAAAAATAAGAAGAAATGAAAAAAGTAGTAATAATAATAATAAATTCGCCTGGCTGCCGTGTGGCCACACCGAACCGTCTGCATATATTTTGCCCGCAAAATAAAATTAAAAAAATAGTTGTATGTCTTTCAACCGTCCGACCTCCATGTGTCCGCACATCGTTTATATTTCACGGGGTCATCTGCGTGTTGCTGCTCCCCTCAGCCCTTTCATCGGCGTGCGAGTGCGGCCCGCAGAGCTCAGTCACTCGTGTGTGTGTGTGGAGGGAAGTGAGAGAAGCACGCAGACATGACGGCAGTCGCGTCTCCCCATCGGGAGAGTGAGCGCAGCAAAAAAGAAAAAAAATCATGAGAAGGGGAGAGAAATGCTGACGGCACTGCCAGCGCGTGAAATGCACACAAAAAGCAAAAAAAAATCCCTAAAAACCGGCAGGGTGTGGCTGTGTGTGTGTGGCGCTGCGGGTGTCTGCCAGCCCTGACCGCAAAAAAAGCAAAACAAGAGGGAAAGAAATGTGTGCTCCGCCCCACAGGCCCTCGTCGCACGCCCACACGTCACGGCTCCCTCAGCGCGCCGTTCGTCGCGGCCCCTCCTCATGCGTGCAGCAGGCGAGGCGCACAGGGCCGTCGTCATGAGCGTGTCGGTGGGTGTGCGAGTGGAGCCGTTGGGCGGGAAACACACGGCACCCCTCGCAGGAAGAATGCAGCAACAAACAATAAACAAAAGCAAAAAAAAAAATCCATGGTGATTGCCCCAAGGCAACAAGCAAGATAAGAAAACAATTTAAAAAAGGAAAAGAAATTGTTCTCTGCGTAGTAAAATTTATTCCTAGCGGTGTGTGTGTGTGTGTGTTGGTGAAGGGGAGGGCGCAAGTGTCCCACGCGGCAGCCAATCACTCCTCAAAGAGCCACAATGCCCCACAGCCCCAGCAGAAGAAGCAGCAACAACACCCGAGACACACACACATGCACGGTGCTGTCACGGTTTAGACCCATGGACAGCAGCTCCGCAATTTCCCCGGTGAAGGTGACGTTGTCCGAGTGTCGTGCCGCGCCTTTTGTTGAGGGGATCCCTTCGCCTCCAGGCGTGGTGTTTGTATTCTCCGGTTTGGTGTCGACCGTCTGTGGCACCTCCTTGCCGTCCTCAAAAGAAAATTCGCTTCCTTCATTCCGAGAGACCTCGTCGGTGTCCTCCGCGGATGTAGGTTCGGCGTCAGTCCTTGAAGGAGTGAGGCTGCTGTCTGAGCCCATTGTTCTCTCGGAATTTCCGTCCCCCGCCTCGAGGCTGAGGCTTTGCTCCGCGCCGGTGGTTCCGGTTCCAGTGGACCGCACGTCGTCGCTTTCAGTGGCAGGCTCAGTGCTTTGTTGCACTTGGTGCCCACTGTCAACTGTTTCGGTGGCCGTATCCATATCCGATGATGCACCCACTGAAGACGTTGATCCGCCACTCCTGTCATCCGCTTCTCCCTCCTCCTCTGGCATTTCTTCATCATAACTTCCAGAGTACATTTCAACATCGGTAACCTCCGTTAATTCCGCTGGCTGTGGGTCTTGTGGCTGCAATTCTGAAACCCGTTGCATCGATTTATTCTCTTC